TCATGATCTTCGCCGACCGTGAACCGGGATGGCGGTGCTTGGATGGTGGACTTGGGTCGGGTTGTTCGCCGGAGGCCAATAGTGTTTGTGGACTTGAGCCCGGCACGTGGGAGTGGATCGGTGGTCCGGGAAGCTCAACGGTGGCCCAATGGGGTTTGGTATGTGCACAAAAGTATCGGGTTGGATTGGTCCAGGCTTTGTTTTTTGGTGGCTGCATGATAGGTACGCCGTCCGATTCTCTCTCCCCCTTTCCTATCGGTTAATAATTATTGTTATATAGAGAGTTATTCCAAGTATAGCTTTTGCCGGTTCAAAAAAAAAAAAAAAAGTATAGCTTTTGTTTTTGTTTTCCTTTTTTCTTTTTCTTTTGTAGAAAGGGGTGAGATCAAAAGATAGGGCATAGACAATTTCGATAAATATTCGCTAGTGAAATTATGACATCTCTAATCATACATGTTATTCTTCTTAATCGAAAACAAATATAGCTAGGATAGCATAGTCGTCAACCACTAAACCCTAATGTGAACTCCAAGACTCGAACCGATAAGAAGTTTGACCGATTTCCCATTGAACCACTTGACGTAAATAGATAGTAAATTTATTTCTCAAGTTATCCATGTTTTCTTAATGTTTTTTTTTTTCATATTATCTTCATTTTGTGTCTTGTCTCGTATCTAAATGTGCAGGTAAATTATAACTATTTGAAGTCTAGTTACAAATTAAATAGGTCAATTTAGAGACTCATACTCTAATCTAAGCAATAACTTATAAATACAACATGAGAAAATATTTATTCGGTTCCACAAATTTATCCTATACACATACTTTAGCTGTTTGAGAAAGTGACAGACTTTCTCCCAACTAGCAGCTTGTCTGTCCCCGACTCCCTATTAATTGACATTGATTATTGTTTTTGCCTTGGGTTTTTTTTATTCAGAAAAGAAAGTTGAAGTTTGTTTCTATACTACCACTATATTTTTTTATTCCTAGCAATAATAGCATAGCTTACCTCAGTTTACATGTGAAGTATACAAGTCCTATACGCATCTCTTTCTATATGTACTTGTTTGACTCTAAACAATTTTTTTTTTTTGTCACTTCGGAGTTATGGATATAAGAATAGACCACCAACATAATATTTTCTGTCCTTGTACAGCAAAGAATCTCTTTTGATAACACTTACGGGTTTGGGATATATTATCTTAGGAGTAGTCGTTAAATGTCTGTTGAAAAATGAACATAATTCGTATAAAATATGTATCATTAATAAATTTACTATATTTGGTGTGTCAGTGAATGAGTTGTTTGTTATAACACATTAGCATGTAGTGGAAAAGATGAGTCTCCATGTGCAATCCCACTGGTTGCTTTAACTAAACAATAAATGATAGGTCTTGAATAACTCTGGTCAGTAGGCTAACTTGCTCACGAATAGTATATGAAATACAGAGTTGTGCTTGTCTTTCACTTAGAAAGTAGAAATTTTTGTGGTGCTTTTTATCCGTTACGACGTTTGGTAAGAGGAATAAAAAATAAGAAGGAAGAAAATATATACAAGCATAATTTACCATAATACCCTTACAATGAAATTGACCATTTTACCGCTACATAAAAAATAATAATTATTTACTATTACAAATTAAAAAGATTAAAATTTTAAAAAAAAATAAAACAAATTCAAGTTATTAAAATTAAAATTCTCTTATCTACATGCTAACCTACAAGTAGTTACCACATTCTCTAGACCTGAACAGTTAACCTACTTTGTAGTTTCCATATTGTCTACACATGGATATTTTTTCCCAAAGTGTTCAACCATACTGTGAAAGTCATGGATGGATATGCTAGGTTTAAAGGGCATATTAGTAAATTGATCTAACCCCACTCAAGTTCTCCATTTCTCTCTACTTCCAGCCCAAAAGTGGAAAAAATATTCCATTCAATGATGATACTCCATCAGCAACGGTGTCACCAATTAATAATATGTACATAAATAGGAAAACGGATCATATGCAAGCCAAAAACTCTTATTTTATGTAAATTAATAACTATTAAAGTGAAATTTATTTTTATTCATTTGATATTTTATTATTAATTAGTGATATTATATCATTAATGCTAACACGATATCACCGTTACATTGAATATTTTCTCCCAAAAGTGGATGACTTTTTTTCTTTGGCGGGCGAAGCAGAACACCTTTCCATCCTTTTTTTTATTTCACCCTATTTTTTTTTCATACCAAACAAAGGAAAGTTTTTCCTTTCCTCCCTTTTTCTGTCGTAGAGAAAATAGACTCCTAAAAGTGTATTTGGAGTGACTTTTTAAAAGTAATTTTAGAACTTATAACTTTTTATAACTACTTTAAAAAAAAATAGTATTTGAAACTGTTTCACTACCACTCTCACTGGCCCGCCTCCACCACTACCAACCACCACCATCGCCACTATCATCACCCACCATCACAACTACCACCACCACCACCGATGTCGCCACCCTACTACTATCACCACCACCACCACCGTCTTTGTGACAACAATCACCTCTGCACCATTACCACCGTCATAACTGCCACCATTGTCGTCTAATTCTTATATTTATTATCACTATCATTATCATCTCACTATTATCGTCGCCACCCACCACCACTAAATTGTTTCCCACTACCACTCGTCGTCAATAGTCACTATCACCCACCCCCACCACACCTACCACTATTATCATTCACCACCACCCATCATGCTGTTGCCTAAAAGCATCTGTCGTCGCCCACCACCACCATCATCACTGCCCACCACCGTCACCACCATAATCATCACTGTTGCCCACCACCACCCACATCCACCACCATCACCACCTTTGTCATCCATGACTCCCACTATTATCATTACCGTTCTCACCTACGATTATCACTACCACCACAGTCATTATCATCCACCACAACTATTACCGTCTCTTACGATCACTACTACCGCTCATTACCTCTTACCCCTCCACTGTAACCGGTGTTTAAAATTATTTATCTCTTTTTTATGTTTGTGATTTGATTTTAGATATGAATATAAATATATTTATTGTTAATCATTTTTTTTATTATTAAGTGACTTTCGGCCGAGATAATCAATTGTGTTTCTAAATTAGATCCTTTACTAGAAAATCATAAGAAACAATAACCACTTAGTTATTCAAATACCCCAATTTTAAACTTATTTAGAATCTTTGCACTCATACTTGGTGCATATAATTTTTCAGGCGCCGGAATATTTGGCCATCTCTCCGACTCCAGACTGGGAAGGAAAGGATCTCTAATGGTGGTGTGTATTTTGAACGCCATCTTCGGCTGTCTAACGGCACTATCACCGAACTACTGGATCTACGCTTTGTGTCGTCTTCTCACCGGCTTTAGCACCGGTGGTGTTGGCCTTTGTGCCTTCGTCCTCGCCACCGAGCCCGTTGGCCCAACCAAGCGAGGCATCGCCGGAATGTCCACATTTTACTTCTTCTCAGGCGGCATTGCAATTCTCTCCGGCGTAGCTTACATTTTCCGATCATGGCGAGCTCTTTATATTGCGTCTTCCATTCCCTCTATCCTCTTCCTGGTCGTAATCCTCCCCTTCGTCTCCGAGTCTCCTCGGTGGTACCTTATTCGTGGAAAGATCGATCAAGCGATGAAAATCATGCGGAACATTGCCAAATCCAACGGTAACCACCTACCCGACGGCGTTTCTCTTGCCCTCGATGACGAAGCCGGCGGCAACCCAAATGTTGCCCAAATCAATAAGAACCCAGTAGTGGAAGAAACTAAAGAAGCCATAACTGGGTCTCTCATAGACGTACTCAAGTCACCACTGACTCGCCGGCGTTTATTCCTCGTCATCGCCATTAATTTCTCATGCTCAGTGGTGTACTATGGCCTTAGCTTAAATGTCGTCAACCTCGAAACCAATATCTACCTCAATGTACTCCTTAATGCAGTTTCAGAAATGCCTGCGTTCTTATTAACAGCAGTTTTGCTGGACAAGTTTGGAAGGAAGCCATTGGCGATTGGGACACAATGGTTCAGTGGGTTCTTCTGCATTATAGGGAGCTTGTTGAAAAGCTATGGAATGTGGAAGACAGTGAGGATGGCCTGTGGAATTTTGGGGATTTTTGGGATGGCCGGAACGTATAATTTGCTGTTTATATATACAATTGAGTTGTTTCCGACTGTGGTGAGAAATGCAGCTCTTGGATGTGCAACACAGGCTGCTCAAATGGGAGCTATATTGGCACCATTTGTGGTGGTTTTGGGTAGTCACATACCGTTTGCGGTGTTCGGAGTATGTGGGGTTGTGGGTGGTGTTCTTGCCTTTTACTTGCCGGAGACATTAAACAGGCCGTTGTTCGACACCATGGCCGGGATGGAAGGTGGAGAAAGTGCATGGACGGTTGCTTAGGGAGATCCCAGGTTCTGATTTTTTCTTCAAAAAATTTCATCAGGTTGAGAAATTAAGCTTCCTGTGTGTAATAGGGCTTTATGATGTTATCTTTTTGTGTTCGTGGGAGGATTTTTCTTTCTATTTCCTTCTGTTATTCGGTTGGGGAAACAGAAAAGTGGTGTTTGATGAATAGCCAGAACTAAGCCACTTGATCTTATGTAATATTAAAGTTTAGAGTAATGTTATAGGAACCTTATTTAGAAATATAATGATATGACTTCAATACAACTATTGAATTAGTTGTAATTTTCAATATTTGATATAACTCACAATCAATTCAATGATTATACATCATTAGATCTCTAAATAAAATTTCATAATAACATTTCCCTAAAGTTTAAGAAGCTAATTAATGACCATTTACACATTGCTTTTGTTTTCCCTATGATGTTACCCATCAAATGATTTATGGTTCAATCTCAACCCAAAATTCCAAATTTTTTAGACTTCCTCCACACGACCCACAAACAATAATCTACAAAATAGTATTACAGATAAGTAGTACGTAATGAATTTAACGGAATCCACATGAATAGCAAACCAACAGAGTTCTGCAGATAACTGATTAATAAGCACCTTTGAAATAGAAATACCTCTCAATTCAACGAGTTCAGTTTCATGTCAACCATATTCAAAAAGTTCCACACAAAGGGACAATAATAAAATTGTGATCGAGGCAAAATCAAGAGCTATGATTCATCAATTGCTCTCTTTTTTTTCTTCCAAAAGTAATCAGATGCTCCTCTGAACAAATGAGTGCAATATCTGAAAGAGAGAAGCTTCTTCTACCGTATACAGGAGCTATTGGCGACCATACATAGATCCATTGCTCTCAAGTGGGGGAGGAGGCAGTCTAGGTCTTGCATACTCCGCAAATATAACCCATCCCTCCAAGAACTACCAATCAAACAGAAAGAGAGAACATTATTACTACTCATATACATTGCAGGGAAAAAATGACGATGATCATGCTAACCAGACCACCGCAACATTTTGCGCATGATGAGACCACACAACTCTTTATATGCCTGTTTTTAGAACACGTATAAAGAGTTTGGGTTGTGTCAGCTCACCTGGCCATCCATGCCCTTTATCCCTGCCGCAGCCTCTTCTAAAGTATTGTATCGTACAAAGCCAAACCCCTTTGAATATCCTGATGCCCGATCAGTCACAACTCTAGCTACAAGAAACAGGGAAGCAGAAGTTCAGTAAATTTTTTATAAAGGAGCATTCCTCTCCTGAAATTTTCTACAGACATGCAGAAGTAAAACGTACCATGCACCACTTCACCGAACTTTGCGAAGGCATCTCTAAGTCCCTCTGAAGTTGTTCGTTTGTTAAGCCCTGAAAACAGAACAGGAACCAAATCTAGTCAAAACTGCATCGATAGAGAAAAGAGCAACCACCCGTGAGAAGCCCAGCACAAATATAAAAGCAAGATTGATAACAAAATAGTATCATGACCATAGAAACCAGCAGAAGAGAAACAAATCAATGAAAGCATCACCATAGTTGTCAAATCGCGATTCGTATCGTGAATCGAAATCCTAAATTTGAGAATCATAAATCGTATCGAATCGTGAATCGTAAGATTCAATAAATAATTTGAATAAAAATAAAAAATAATACTACATATTTAAAATATTGAATATTGAACATCGTTGAATTCTAAAAATAATCAATTGACATAATCACGTCATCTAAATAGAAAGACGCTAGTCTTTTGCTTTATTTTCATCTTTTGCTTAACCATTTTAAATTCAGCAACTTGAAGATAAAAAATTCATTAAAGAATCAAGGCTATTCAAGAACCAAAATAGTGACACCCAGTATAAATTAGGTTATAAATATGAATGAAAAAAGAAAAAATAAGAAAATTGATTGGGATAAAACATACAGGTCAATATTTTGAAACAAAAAATTAAAACCTAACAAACTACCTATGAAATAATTGAGAGCAAAAATCAACCGATCATGCGAGAGCCTTAGCTGTGACCTTTAGCTTTAGATAACGCAAGGCAAGCTTTAGATGACGTGAGAGAGAGAGAACGAGCTAGGATGTTGAGTTTTTATTAGGGTGTGGGTTCCTCTACAAACAAAACGATGTCGTTTTATTGTTTAGCAGACAAAATGACGTCGTTTTGCCAAATTTGGGTTTTAAAACAAATGATTGAATTCTGTGATTCGGGCAATACGAATCGAATCGTACGAATCGTAAAATTCTGGTGTGATTTAACTGTAAAACGATCTCATATAAGATACGAATCGTTTTATACCTGTATCGATCCGAATCGTACGAATCGAATCGTGAATCGTACGATTTTGATAACTATAAGTACCACAAAAAACAATATTTTAAGTTTTCCAACAGTAAAAAGAACGTCACTAACTGATTTTTCATTTAGGCTTAGAACCCTGCACCTGTCCCACTGGAAAGGCTAGAAATATTACTCAAGCAAAAGATGATATATACATCTACAGACGGCGACGCACATCCTAACTATTTATCGTAGAAGATACAAAACCATAATCATCCAGGTAAGAAGGCACTAGATGATTCATCATCTCTTGACAAGATACAAGTGAATGTTTTAATTACCACATCATTAAGAAACTTTTTGGTCGCAGATAAGTAGAAAACAAGAAAACTATCATCTCCAGAAAAAAACCATTTAGATCTCAAGAAGTTCTTAAAGGAGATCTCTATATATAACCTATCAGGTTCATTCCGTGGGATGAGTAACATTGTTTGACAAGTAAATGGCATCCAACACGGTTTCTTACTTTATTCTGAAAATTGTAAGGTGTTCTCAGATATAGGTTTGGAAACCAGAAGAGGAGACGGAAAACTCGATGCTAGACTCAGCTTCACTACGTTAATACAGTAACTGCAAGTATTATAAATCTTCCTATACTTCATGTGACACTTGAAGCTAGAAAGTTTAGCAAGATTTAGTGGCTCCTTTGGCCATTTAGCAGACTTTAGTTTTGCTCTTGAATCCTCCAATTTAACCGAATAATCCACATTTATTTTGTTCTACAGATAATGATCACTGTTTCAAGCTCTCAAAATATGTTATCATTAACTTACTATGTAACCTTTAATCAAGTACTTCCAAGTTCCAACTGCAAGGGGCCATATAATTAGTTCAAGGCCTTCATTTAACTTTCAACTCAAATTCCCAAGCAAATTTGGCTCCATGATCAGTAACTCAACTTCATAATGTGCTACTTCTCCAGCCAGTTGGGTGTAAATGAAAAACTACACCCTCAATTACATCCAAGGCAATTAGACGGTTAAAATAATTCAATTACGTTGGGTCTCAGTTTCAGCCACCCACGATTCCTGTGCTAAATAATAATTCTCCAACTTTCGAATATGCCACAAATCCAACCAGCATGCATATGTGCAGACACAGTCTCAGTCCAGCACCCACAATTGTATTCACTCACCATATCACTTAAAGACCCAGAAACAACCTTTCTGGGGCATTATCCAAGGGGATCAGGTTCAGGTGCGTGATCTGGTACATGTGTCTATCTAACCCAATTTCAGAATCACAGCTACTTTTTCACTCAAAAGCCATATTTTTTTATTTATGCTAATTATGTATACTTGGGCAAGCAATATGTTTGCACCCATATCCCACATCCACCTGGTACTTGAGCTCAACACGTCCCCCTTTGTGGATGTAGGCAATAGCATTCAAGATTACAACTTCTAGATTTCTACTGACTTGCACACGCTTGTTACATATACTTATCAGCAAGGGACAAGTATGACAGATGAGCAAATAACAAACGGTCACCCATTGTACCAAAGGTGCATACTATACCTAGAGATCAATACCAAAAGATAATTAAATATGTATACAAACAGAATCCATCAATAGATGCACAATCAAATCATATTACCCAGAATATGAAAATCTAATATATTTTCCACAACACAGCAATTAATCAAAAAATCTTTACGCTGTAATCATTGTATCTACGTATGTTGAAGAAAATTTCTCTTACTTTTTCATTTCTTCGAGAATCAGAACTACGTATTTCTTTTTCGCAGTAACCAAAAATAGAGTCCATGGATCTGCTAATAGCGAAGTGCGGAATCCTTGATATTTGTGTGTTTGTGTGCGCAAGTGCATATTTTTAACGTATAAAACAGAGCTACAGATAATAATACGCACCAAAATGAGAAAGAATCGAAAGATTAAGAAAGAAGCATTGAAAGAAATGAAGAGTATTTGGGGGAAAGAGAGAAAGACATGCCAGAGACAAAGAGGTTGGTGGAGGGTTCAGCAGGAGGAGGCTTCTCTTGATTCGTCGGCGGTGGATTGAATGGAAAACTTGATGATAAAGTTGAGAATAATAACCCTCTAAGTCCTCGAGGAGTCCCCGCGGTCACAGTCGCCGTCGCCGCCGCCCTCATCATCGCCATCGGGTGTTTAAGCTTTTTCTACAAACACAAGTGCAGGGTTTTAGCTAGACTTTAAGAGAGAGGGACCATGTGTAATTTATAGTTCTGATGTCTGAGGGAAGAACAGAGTTAATTAAAATTATTTTATTAATATTAATGCCTAAATTTTGTGGTTAATTCATTCAATTCGTCTATAAATAAATAATTTGCTTATTTATATTTATAAGTGGGGGTTAATCCCACGTCACAACTCTCTCTTTTTATCTCATTTAATTTTTCATTATCAAATTACTAAGTCCATATTTTTTATAATCACCATATTAATAACTAAATTTACCTCATACTTCATATATTCTTTTTAATAAGTAAATTCACTTTATATTTTGTCATAATTAGAGTTTCGTTCTCTATCTCAACTCATACACTCACAAAAACACTTTTTTAATATGAATTTTTCCAGTGGAATACAAGTTAGTATTATTTCTCAATTTAATTCTATGTTTGATTTCATGTTTGTTATATGGATTTTTATTATTTTTGGTATGTTTCGATATTTCTGTTAAGTTTAATAATTTTTATTTAAAATTTATATGTGTATATGTATATTTATGCTTTTAGATTATTTGTTCTTTTTTATTTTGTTAAAGTTTTACATCTATATTTATTATTTTTTTTCTTTTCGATTTTGTGATTATACTTGATACTTATTTTTTTTCTTTTCGATTATTTGTACTTGATACTTATTTTTTTTTCATATTTGATTTTGTGTTTTGTAATTTTGTTTGTTCTTTTAATCTTTGCTTAGTTTTTTTTTTTATCTTTTCTTCTTGTTTTGGTTTGCTTATTTCTTTCTATATTTTCCTTATTTCGTTCTTTTCTTTTTCTTGTTTGGGCATGTTTATTTTTTTTTAACTTGTTTCGTTTTTGTTGTTTTTTTTTTCTTGTTTCAATTTTGCTTGGTTCTTTTTTTTCTTATTTCATAAATATATTTATATATTCAAATTAATTGTCTTCTTCCATTTTTTTTTTCTTATGATAACTTCTTTCATTAAAGAGGTGTACATAAAAGGAGTGAATTTATCTATTAATGGAGTGCATATAGCATGTAGTGAGCTTAGTTACTCAAGGGGGGTGGGTCTAGAATGAGTGAATTTAGTAGTTTGATAATGAAAAATTAAATGGGATAGAATGAAAATTTGTGGGGTGAGAATAATTTCACCCTATATTTATTAATGTGGATTTTAAATGAGTTAAATAATATGACTCATTTTAATTAAGTGGATTGAGATGGATTATAAATGAATATATATTGTGTTGAGTATTTATCTTTCCATCAAATAATAAAAGCAATAAAATTTAATTTATATATTAAAATATCAAAATGCACACACACTAGTACATTAAAAACACAGTAATATATCAAAAAATACACTAGTACACCAAAACAAACACACATTAGTACATGAAAACATACACAAACACACCCCCGGATTGGACCTCTACCATGGACTAGACCCTGACCCTAATCCTAAAATTGGACCTAAGCATGGGCGGAGCTACCATTGGACTAGGGGAGGCACATGCCCTCCCAAAAAATTTTTTACTTGACATTGGTTTTTTGTTTTTAAAATAAAATTTAAATATATTTAATTGTGTCCACTTAATTGTTGTGTTCATAAGATATGGATTAGAATAAAAAAACTTATACCTAAAGGATTACTAACTTTTGACCAATTCTATTGGAAGCTAATTTCACTATCTAATATATTGTGACATTAAGTTTAATAATGAGTTCCAATATTTAATCCTTCTACAATCAATTAAAAAAAATAGAATTTATTAATGTGTGCACTTTAAACTAATTTTTTGGCTATGCACCCAAGCCCAACCCTCATCCTGTGTGTGTGTTTAGGTGTATAAATATGTGTTTTAATGTATTTGTGTGTTTGTGTGTTTTGGTCTACAAAACAAACAAAATCTGAATGACTTAATTATTTTATATATAAACAAACTCGAACCAAGCTTTTTTAGTCTTATTTTTTTAAATGAGTCTAAATAATTGTTCAAATTCAACTCGTTTAAAAACAAACAAAGCCAAAAACGAGTCAAATTTGAATAGCTCAACTCGATTAACAACCTTACTTTTAACATCATGGCTTGCAATCTTCATTAGAAAAATCATCAACCTTTCATTAGCTGCAAGGTAAACTCACCTTATTCAGCTGACTGCCCAGCCAGAAATAGCCAAGGATTGGCACCTTGCATGATTCAGTCACAGTTGGACCTGTTTGCATAGAGGATGGTCTTTGCAATCAATATTCGGTAAATACTAGCTATTTCGTACCCATGATCTCCCAAGTAAACCATCAATATGTAAACAAAGACTAATTCTTACCCATTCAAACCATCCATTGATGCCAAGATAAATGCTCAAAAAACAGCTATATTTCTTTTCCATGACCTCCTCATCATAAGATTGCATTTGAGTAATGAACACACATTCAAACCACCCCATGAAGTCATGATATATGTTAATAATGTGACCTTTTGCATTAGGGTGCTCAAAGCAGCCATCGAATGGAAATAATGAACACAAGCAAACTGAATTTAAACATATTCGTCCAATAAAGTATCATAAAAACTCCAATTACTGCAAAAGTTCCCATCAAAACTTAGTATTTTTCTACCATGGCAATGTTGCAATGCAACAACAAAACTAAAGAAAATAGCAAAAATAAAACCATCCTTAAAAGTTCCACTAAGCACCCTTATCGGCCTTGGCAGCAGTAGCAGCAGCTTGTCCCCGGAGACGACCAGTCCTCCTGGCAGCAATAAGACCAACCTTTTGGCCAGGTGGTGCATCACGACGAACAGTGCTAGCATGACCAATATGCTGGTGGTTACCACCACCATGGGGATGTTCCACAGGGTTCATAGCAACACCACGAACCTTGGGCCAACAGTTCCTCTTCACACGGTATTTGTGATACGCATTGCCAGCCTTGAGGAGCGGCTTCTCAGTACGTCCTCCTCCAGCAACCTGGCCAACCATAGCTCGACATCCACTGGGCACAATTTTCTTGGATCCAGATGGGAGTTTGATCCTGTCAACAGCAATAAAATGTCAACTGAAATAGCATAACAAACTACAAGACAGTTAAGTAATAGGAGCTACCTTCAAAAAAAAAGACCAACTAAAAGATATCCACATCCCATCAGATCCTCACAAACCTTAACTTCCACACTATGTATATAAGAACTGATTAATTAGGCAGTACTTAATGAAAGATGCACATGAATTGCTTATGGCATATTCCATATGAATGTATCCAAAATTAAATCTAACTAGAATATTGGTGTTGATGGGGCCACCATAGGTTAGTATTAGATGCAGCGGGTCTCAAATAGTCAAGCTTTAGTTCATAAAAAATTATATCTGCTAATATGAAAAAACAACTCTAATTTTTAGGGGTTCAGTGGCGCATTTCACAATCTATTTACCATTCAGATAAATTTATTAACGTGCATTTGTTCTCATAAATACCTTGAAGAAACAACTTATCAGACAAACAAATGGAAACTCAAGTGTTTCGCATTAACTATCAAACAGCTTCGAAGGTCTAAATTCAATTTTCTTTTATTAACCGAAAGCAACAAACATTATTTAGGCCATAGTTATCAAATCGTGTATCGGAAGGCGTATCGTAAGATACAAATATTGTATCGTATCGTGTATCGTATCGTGTATCGTAAGATACGATGCAATTTTAAATAAATAATAAAAAAATATATATACCTTTGAAAAAAAGTCATACACTCATAAAAAATATAGCATTTCATTAATACTCCACCAATTATTCAAGTTATCAACATAATCCACTACTATTATAATGCAAAGTTCACAACCATAGTTCACTAATTCAAACTTTAAACACCAAAGAGACTTCTAATCCAAATTTCTAACATCTATTTTGAACTCAATCTTCAATTTCAATTGAAAATGCATCATCATCATCATCATTGTGATCGGATGCCAACAAGTCTTCACTTGTCGTTTTTTTTAAAAAAAAATCAGAGCACAAAACGACGTCGTTTTAAAAAAAAAAAAAAAAAAAAAAAAATTGCACGTATCGTGCGTATCGTACCGATACGTATCGTATCGTAAAAACGTATCGTGTATCGGACGATACAACGCAAAAACGATACATAACTACGATCCGTATCGTTTTAGGGCTGTATCGTAACGTATCGTACGATACGTATCGCGTATCGTACGATACTAACAACAATGATTTAGGCCACTTAATTCACATATCTGTAAGTGTCCCCATTCACAACTAACATTGATTTTAAAACACTGAACCTTGCCAGATATTTTTATGGTGGACAAGTATGAAGAATGCCTTCATAACAAGAAAGATGAATAAACCGTAATAAACTAATGCTGTGTTTGGGAGCATAGAATTTATGCCTTCGAGTTGCAATTGGAATAAAATGAGTTTGATGCTTCGAACTAATGTGGACTCCAATTCAAATTCCAACAAGTGGTTCCCGTGCTCCATAACAAAGCCTAAAATCATAAACAAATTCAAAATCCTAACTCACTAATTCCATTAGACTTCACATTCAGATAAATTCATTCCCCTAAATTAACAAATTTCTCTTTTTCTTTGAACGACGAAACTAACAAGCTTTAAAACAACCAAGACCATTAAATCCTTGTCCCAGAATGAACTAAAACTAAAATCTCTCAGAAAAACTGAATAATTTTCAATAAAGATAAATTTGTCAGTTTCCAAATATATAAATGTCAAAACTAATAAAATCCATCAATTAAACAAAACATTAGAAAAACCAGGTATAAGCAAGAAAATATTTCCGCTAACAGAGTTGAATAAACAATTTACAAATTCTCAAGCCCTAAATCATAACCAATGTTATCTGGATCGTGAGACGCTTTGGTACGTGATACGGATACGGGTACATAGTACGACACTTTCTTAGATACGCGGTTCGAAGAGGGTAAGTTTAACTGGTACGGTATTTTGGATTGTAATTCGTTTTACAACTCTTATGTAAATCATTTTCACTATTATATAACATTATATATTATAGAACATTCATAAACACAAGTTAGTCATCGTTTATCTTATAATTGTGCTTGATTTTCTATTATCTAAAACAATATATAACTATAAATCTATATACATGTAGTCAATTAATATATATTTTATATTTGTGCTACATGTTCTAAAGTGAATTGATTTTGAGTTAGTATTACAATTTTAAGATCGTCTATTTTGGTGATTTGAATCTCAGATCCATGTAGCCAGAATGTGGGTCATTTAAGGTATGGTGAATTGTGGTAACCATAATCATAACAAATGGGACCAAAATGCACAAAAAACACTACAACAATCAATCACATATAAATACACAAATTAAAAGCCTTTCATGTAAACCTTTTTACCCATTACCAGAGGATGCAAAATCACATTACCAATTCAATCATATAGTGATAACTAAACAAATCAGTAGACACCAAAACGAATAAATTCATTAATAATAAATATACGCATATTAAAAAAGCATAGGCTTCGGGTGTTTACCTACTGGTCCCATTATCTGGGTTGTGGCTGATCACAATCGCATAATCCCCAGATGCTCTGGCAAACACACCACGATCACCCACATGGTGTTCGACGTTACACACCACAGCACCTTCAGGAATAGATCTGAGAGGCAAGACATTTCCGACGACAAGATTGGCCTTCTTGCCACAGTACACGAACTGGCCAGTGTACATGCCCTCGGCGGCGACAAAGAGCTCCTTCTGGTGCTTGAAGCGGAAAGGATGGCGGAAGGTGACTCGGGCTAACGGGGCGCCTCGACCCGGGTCGTGGATGATCTCGGTGATAACGCCCTTCAAGTAGCCGTTGCGCTCGCCAAAGTCGAGTGAACGGAAACGAGCCGGGCCTTTCCGGTGGTGGGTGTGGGACTTAAAGACGGAGCCTGCTCCTTTACGCTGTGCTCTGATCACTCGACCCATTGTTGACTCTCTCTCTCTCTGTTGGCCCGCCGGGGGGGGGGGGGGGGACTTATTGGAGTTTGGGAGCGGCTGGGGGAAAATCGGATGAGGGGGTGAAATAGGGTTTTGAAAAGAGAGGGTGACAGAGAGTGAGTTTGTTGGGTTGCCCTAAATTGTGTTTGGTGACAGGGTTCTACTGTTCTCCGGTTGGGATAGCGTAACTTGGGCGGGCCAACCTGACAACCAAAAAATATAAGACGTGGGCCAAGATCTCCAACAGTCAGGTTGGGCTTGGCCGAAAATAGTCAAATCGTTTTGAATCCGGGAAGTGTTCGGGTGGGAACCTCGGCTTATGGCAATCCAAACCCGAAGCATGGCTAAATTCATAAAATCGGATTAGATCTCCAGTATGTGATCCAATTTGGTGACAATGAATTTGGTTGGTGGAATTAGTTGGGGCTATTCCCACCCGCAAAATATCCATTCTCACCTCATTTACTATTCCCACCCTATTTTCATTCTAAATCTATGGCCACCATCTAAGCCATAAAATCCACCCAGCACCCAAATCTCCACCACCCTACACCCACCATTATCACCACCCATATCGTAGCAGAGAAGCTAAGTTGGGAATGATGTTGGTTCTCAAATGGCAAAGACTTTAAGTGGAATTGAATTTCGTCCACATGTTATGGAGATTCAGTGTTAGTGCAATATATGGTAAATGAACTTGCAAAGTTAGAGTTTTATGTTATAGTCGAAAAAAGGGGAATTAAGGTTGCGAATGATTTTTTGAAGACTATGAATAAATAGACATCTTCCAAATAATAATCGGTTATGTAAGTCAAGGTCTCAAGGACGCCATGACACTGATGTGCTTTGAACATTTTTCATTATTTATTTGATTGATTCAGTTAATAATAAGTCATTATCTCATTTTTTTCATATGTTGGTTTAGATAACTGTGATTTTAAATTCTTTTAGTAGAATTGAAGATAGAATTTAAGGATAGGGGTGTTAGGGTTTTTAAAGGTGAAAGGTGGGATGGGGTTATGGTTAGAAAAAGAGATGTTAAATCTTATATGTTGGGATGAACAAGGTAAAAAATAATTTTAAGTGGAGTGCAAAGAAGAAATGGGGTGAGAATGAATATTTTAGGGGTGAGAATAGCCCATAAAATATCCAATTCTCATTCCATTTGTAGTGAGTTTTTGATTTCAACTCGAGTCCATATTGAGTAATACTTAGGTTAAACTATTCAAATTAAAAACTGAAGCAAAATTGGGCTAGAGTTGAAAGCTTTGTAAGTTGGGTGGGTCGATCATAACTTGTCTAATAGCATTACCAATAATATTTTGTATTTTAGCTATCCAAAGTACATTTTTTTTAATTTTAGCTATTAAGTTTTTTAATACACATTGCAACAGAATTTTTATATTTTAATTATTATTGGAGAGAGAAAGAGAGAGAGAGAGAATGGAAGGAAAGATAATGAATGGACAAGAGAGGTAAGAAAAGACAATAGGATAAAAAATATATTATAAACTATTTATACATGATGTTATAGTGATACTCTAAATATAAAAAACATCACTGTAATGAAATTGTATTTTACCTATTCTGAACATTTTCTTGTTGGAGCATGATTTTAACCTTTTAATAATTTTAGCCATTTTTTCTTAAAGATGCTCTAACCGATTTAAATTACACCCCTAAATTGTAAAATTCGGGTTCAATTGTGTCCAAATCACGTCTTTGTCGCACATATAAATTCTAATTCAAGTGTGTACTAAATAGTATCAAATATTTTGATATCAATTTCATTTATTTATTTTTGATCAATTATATATATATATATATATATATATATTGTATTTTGATATCAATTTCATTTATTTATTTTTGATCAATTATATATATATATATATTTTGATATCAATTTCATTTATTTATTTTTGATCAATATATATATATATATATATATATATATATATATATATATATATATATTGTAAACCAAAAAAAAAAAATTAAAAATTAACATGATTTCTTTACTAACAAAACTGAGTAAAGTAAGAAACCTACTAATTTTACAATGATTCACACAATTCCTTATTAAGAAATAAAAAAAATAAAAGATAACAAATATTTTATACAAAAGCGAGTTAAACTGAATTATTGTATCTAAATTAGGTTATTTGTATTTAATACTAATTTCTGCACGACAAAAATACTAATCCTAATTATTTGGAATCGACTATCCGGCAAAATCACTAGGTGCTTGTATTTAAATTATTTTTTTTTTTTTGTGTTTTTGGTCGTACACGAAAAAAATATTAATTTTAATTATTTGGGATATATTAATTTTAATTATTTGGGATCGGCTATGCGACAAAATCAGTAGGTGCTTGTATGCAAATTTTCTTTTTTTCTTTTTGGTTTACACACCACCGTACAATCAACATTCCTATGTTGACCAAAACTTTTTATTAAATTTTTTATGAGAAATGCTATATGAACTTAAAAAATAGATTTAATAATTTCAACTATTGATTTTATTGTGAATCTTAATATTTATTGGGACCCACTACCTATTCAATGATTGAAATTATCAAGTCTAATTTTTAAATCTACTTTTAAATTTCACGTAACATTACTCATTTTTTATTCATGTATCAGAGTTTTTACAGTTAAATATAAATATAAAATTTTATTAATATTTAATGATAAAAATTTTGACATATTACTTAATACGAAAAACTTGATAAATATAATATTGTATATGTGTGAAAGTGATGCGTATACCTAAAATCACCACGTTCACAACGCCGAATCGAAAAGTACACATACTTCTCAGGGACAGCAGAGGAAAGCCTTCTGCATCTCTCTCTCTCTCTCTCTCTCTCTCTCTCTCTCTCTCTCTCTTTCCCTCCAGACGACGTCTCTCTGTGCCAACTAAAACCACAAGATTTTCAAATCTATGAGATAAATACAAACTCTACTACATTTCATCCCTTACACGACTCCAAAAATTTGTAGATTTCATCGTCATTAAAGTTGGGGGATTTCTAGATCACAGGCCATGAAACGAGGTTACTCGGAATCTTCACCATCGGCCTCTCTTGGACCTCCTCAATCCAAATTTAAATACAACCCCGAAGGTATGTTTTGTTTGTCAATAAAACCCATATTACTTGATTTCGTTTTCCTGGGTTCATGATGTGTTTATTGATTATCTTGGTTGGTTTATACATTTTTTGACCTGGGTTTAGCTACTAGAGAAACTTTAATACCAAAATTTGCATTTATACTACTTTTGGGACATGGTTTTAGAAAGTTGTAAACATTACCCTGCATATGGCTGCTGAAGAAATCAGAGGAAACTGAAAGGAATACATTTTGTTTTTTAAAATCCTAGTTCATATGTTCCCAAACGTAATCTATTATTTTGCTTGATTTTACTCAGCATCTTCATCAAATGTGAGTTGTTTGTATATGTTTGTTCTGAAGTTTTGTGCTCTGGTCAGGTGATGCAGAGTTTCTAGAGGATGAGAGTACAAAGATTTTTGCCAGGAAAGTGGCTGACCATTACAGTGCGAGGACCAATCAAACTCTGGAAGAGCGAGAAGCAAGTCCTATTATTCATTTAAAGAAACTCAATAATTGGGTATGTTTTACTATATCATTGAACACATTGTCCCTAAGTAATTTTATGTTATGCAATGTAATGAAGTGGTTTAGTTTGTCTCAACTTTGTTCTGTTCAACAGATCAAAAGTGTCTTAATTCAGCTTTATGCGAAAAAAGGGGATGTAGTTCTTGATCTTGCTTGTGGCAAGGTACTACAGATTCCTTTTCCGTGCTATTTTTTCAGCTAACATTCACACCGATATGTATGTGTATGCATATTAATCAATAATATTGAGGTAATGTTCTGTTTCTGTATCTCATCTATTTACACCAGGGTGGTGATCTGATCAAATGGGACAAGGCAAAAGTTGGATATTATGTTGGCATTGATATAGCTGAAGGCTCGGTATAGTGATATAACTCCTGGATTTTTTTTTTTATACATTTATGTCTTCATGTATTTTCCATTGATGTTTAGCTGGGCTATCTGTGATTATTGTGTCAGAGTGGATCACCAAGGCTCTTTGAGCATCCATTATAGTATATATTAAGCTAATCAATAACGGATATCTTTCACAGTGCACACACATTAAATTGAAGCTGACAATTGGTGCGTGTTTTTTATGATATTTATTTAGCAAAGAAGTTTAGCAGCTGGAAGGTTTTTTTTTGCCTATTTCATTGCTACTTGTGATTTTTTGGGGGTGTTAGCCAGCCTATAGCAGAAACATGTTTCAAATATGTGGGTTCAATGCGACTTTAGCTTAAAAGCTTGATGGAGCCATTGGCACCGACAATCACTTCTAGATAAATTCGGAGTCTAAACGACCATTCGTCCTCGAAGGATGACTTTAGTCCAGCATATAGTACCTCAAAAAAATCAATTGAGTACTTATGACGTGCCTATTCATGTATTGTTCAAACAGGACATCAAAAAGAAATTAAATTGTCAAACACATTACCCATCAATCCAGACATGGATGTGTCCCATTTTGGTCATGGAATTTTAATACCCCAATGGATCAGCTTCAAAAGGTCGACATTGGCCTTCATAATACATAAATAATAGTCATCGGAGCTTTAGGCTTCCATAGTAAATGAAGAATGTAGCCAGAAAAATCGGTGTCCATAGCTATAAATGGATAAACATCTAGGATACCCAGATTAATGCAAACCCATCATCAAATATAACAATCTTGACAAAATTGGCATTTCTTCATGAAATTAAAAAGCAACCTGTTTGGATGAGAAAATAAGCACACATAGTGACACTTTTAAATCAATACAAGGCTCTATTTTACTAAATTCTGCTTCCCTTGTCTTTTCTCTATTAACTGTTATATAGACAAGGAAGTTGTTTCCTGGTCATGTCGTATTTTCTTCTGAAATCTTTCAAAATCCTGGATGACCACTAAAATGTCTCTTTTTCAAGCCAAGAAACGTCTGGCTGTAGCACTCGCATTCAAATACTTTCCTTTTGCAAAACTGAACTCTGATGACATATCACTATGTATTGTCAAAAACTTAACAGAAGTCATGTAGGGATGACTTTAGTTATTTAGGGCCAATATATCCTGTCTATCAGAAGAAGACAAGGCGAAACAAGTGACAATTAGATCACCCTTGATCAGTTACTTTGACAGAATGGAAGATAATTCAAGATGGTATTTTGAAGTTCTTGTTTGAGGGAACATTTAAGACGTACCTCCATCTCTTTCATCGCATTTTGGAAATTAAACGGAGCTTAGTTTCATTAATGATAAGTAGAAGTGTGGAGGCTAAATGCAAATATTTATAAGAATACATGTAGCTAATTTCAGTTCCTCATTACTCATTTATTGTTATCATAACACAATATACCGATGGGAATTTTTCTTATGCCGCAACAGAAAACCTTATACCTTGATGCAATAGATTTTTTGGTGTTACCAGTGCTAGTGTTGTATTCAAAACAATAAGGGAGTTCAAACTTCTGACGTCTGCATACAGAGCCTGTTACCACTGCTTGGGTATCAGCTGAACTAGAGCTCCTTGGAATTCTTGAAGTTTTATATTTTAAGTGAAAGATTCATGACTAATATGAACATAAATTTTGGATGTAAAGGATCATTTATTAGATAATTATTATAATATGAAGCGATTATCTTGATTTAGATTAATATTCATAGTGACAAAAATCTGTAGTTTTGTATGTATGTCCATGTATGCCTTGTTATGGTATACTCCTCTCAAGCCTTAGCCTTACCTTGGTTATAGGATTGTATCTTGGTGGGCAGAGTCTTCTGCAACTAAATGACATATCATTCCTCATAGTCTTCAGTCGTTTCTGTGTTCAGCTTCCTTGCCTATGTCCATAGGAGCACAATAATAGTTCATTTCATTTGATAAGAAAACGGTACAGAACTTTTAGCTTTGGATGAAACCTAGATGTGAAATCACCCACTTCCTTGTAAGTTCTCATTTTTGGAGAAGATTTGATGTTTCTTCTCTTGTTTTCATTAGTGTAAGCATGTACATGTTTTGGAAATCTATTTTTTGTTTCAGCATGCAGTTTTTAGAGTGTAATGCAGGACAGCATTACCTGATAAGTGATAACTGAATTTTGTTCCAAGTATTTCTGCCTTTCACACACTTGTTACGATTATCCTTGTTTTGATCATTTTCAACAATTATATACAGATAGAAGACTGTCGTACGCGCTACAATGGTGATGCAGACCATCATCAGCGTCGTAAGAAGTTCTCATTTCCTGCCCGACTTATGTGTGGAGATTGTTTTGAGGTAACAGCAGTATTTATGTGAGAAATTCTCTTTTTGGCTGTACTCAAGACACGTCTAATGGGGAATCCCTGTCTGCCATCCTACTTTATCACCAACTCACTTGGTTAATCAAGTGCCACTTCATTTGCATAATGAGTAACTAATCAACAACCGAACCAGAGCCTTTATGAGCTGCTGTGATTATTGTAAATTCTTCATCAACACATCACTGCAAATAATGCTGGTTCTCATTTGATGGATTGCAGGTTCGATTGGATGAAGTTTTAGAAGATGATGCACCTTTTGATATTTGTAGTTGCCAGGTGAGACATTATCTTTGCATTTGGGAGGACAAAAGTAAGCGACATATGTCAATTATTGTATCAGTATTACGGCATCTAGCCTAAGGCAACATACTTCGTCATTTGTGCCTTCTAGTTATTATTTTCAGTCTCTGTCTTAGTTGATGCAAGGAATATTACTACAATTTACAAATTATTTTACTTGAATAGCCAATGAGCTACAGCCTTGTTTTTAATTAGACTGAAAACTGTTTGATGACCATTTCTTCTAAAGATTACATCTTGTTTGTTGTTTATTTGTTTTTTTCTTTTTTTGGTAAATCCAGCTATTTAGTTTAGAAAATTATGGAAGGATCTCTCTCAATTTTTTTGCCAGTTCAACTGCTTCTGTGAGATGGGTTGCTATATGTTTTGTCTGTGCTGAAATTTCGCATACTCTCAGTTGTCCAGCGAATATTCAAGAAATAATTTATTCCTCTTCAAGCTTCATTAAAGTGTGTTTTAAACTATCAAGACTTGTATATTTGCTGCAGTTTGCTATGCATTACTCGTGGTCTACCGAGATACGTGCACGGCGAGCCTTGGCCAATGTTTCAGCCTTACTTCGTCCTGGAGGCATCTTCATTGGAACAATGCCAGATGCCAATGTTATCATCAAAAAGCTTAGAGAAGGTTTTTATTTTTTTAACTTTTTCCGTGTGAAAGATAAAAGAGTTTTGAGTCTATCGTCACTCATAACGCTTCTTTCTTCTTCTATCATTTTTATTCTTGTCTCAAAAAGCTGAAGTCCTTCCAATAATTCATTTCATTGTCATTTCTTTTTTTGTTGGGGGGTAGCCTTCTGCATGTTGTTTTACTTTCAAGATTAAACAAACAGTATTTCATGGACCTTGGACTAATTCCAGGCTACAGTTTCTTGGGTATGACATAGTTTGGACATCAATATTTAGTTTTGACTTGAATTTCTGTGTGCTCTTCACATATTTTATGGTTCTTATGCCCCAACCCCCTCCTCCTAGGATGCGGTGTCTGTTGCTTTTTTGAATTTTTCTTATCAACTAATGGAATATTTTTATCAAAGAAGAATAAGAAGACTCTTCCTAGAAAGGGTTGCTCATGGTGATGATCCTGGGAAGAGTTGTTCCATCTTTCATCACATCAGATAGCATAGCAATTGGCTTCTCTTTTTGCTCACCCTTTGGTACAAGGGTGGAAGGGGAATTCAGGAATTAATGATTTTTGGAACCCTGATTATCACGAATTCTTAACAAAATAATGCATTGATGATTGATCAAAGTGTTGCAGAAAATGATTTTCAATTAATAAACTCTGGATTTTCCCTCTGTAAACTGGTTAATGTTATTTGATTTAGTTACAAACATGGTCTTACCTTTAAGACCTGTTTATATCTTGGACCACATAATATGCTCATGTAACGCAGTATTTCACTCTTTTAGCTTGTAAGCTTTAAAATCAATGCACATTACATACTGCTTTGCATACTATTTTCTGATTCTTGGTAGAATATGCAGCTGAAGGATTGGCTTTTGGAAATAGTGTCTTCTGGATACGTTTTGATGAAGAATTTTCTGAGAAGGTAAATTAAATTGTCATTTCTTGCATCTACATTTCTGTAGAAACTGCTCTCTGCAGTGTATTACTGGAACCGTTCTGACAGTAGAAGTTTTTTTGTCTTGTTCAGAAATTTAAGTCTTCAAGCCCCTTTGGAATTAAGTACAAGTTCCACTTAGAGGTGCTATTATCTATTTTTTGTTCCTTTTCTCTGATTTTTTTCAAAAAGTTTGTCCTCTTATCCATCTCGATGTATGCATTTTTGTTATGGCCCTGGGGTAAAAATTTTGAGTAGACTACAGGATAATAGGTATACAGCTACAAAGCTGGTAAGATATTTCTACTCTCTCTCTCTCTTGTTTATATAAATGCTACAGGTTCATTTCTTTAACCAAAAGAAAATAAATTAATATTTCTTGCTGGAATTTTTTCTGGTCATGTTGTATATCTAGTTCATTATTTTCCACTGATTTTGATTGTATTTCTGCAAAGTGGAACCTTTACCTTCACCAAGCTACTGTTTTGTTGTAGTTCTGCCAACAATATAGAGATTAATGAGCCTATTGTTTCAGGATGCTGTTGATTGTCCTGAATGGATTGTCCCCTTTCATGTCTTCAAATCACTGGCAGAAGAGGTACAAATTTATTTGCAAAATGTAATCTTGCATTATAGGTCATTTTCTTCTATCTTATTTCATCACCTCTTTTTTCCTTGGAGAAAGGAAATGATGGGGCAAGAAAAGTGAGCAGCTGACCTGATAAAAGCTAGAATGTCTTTGAAAAAAAGATGTATAGTTTTGCCTCTTAGAATGGATGCCTTTGCTTACTTGAGAAAGGGCAAGAACATAGCCCTATCATATACGAAGCGGAAAGTAAAATCTTGAAAAGCTATAAGAAATAGAAAACAAAGCCAAGTAGAGAGCCATTATATGCTCTGTCACTGAAATAGAAGTTCATTTATTTCGTGACTTGGTGTTTGAGCTTTTAAGACATGCGAATGCTATTACTACCCAATCACACTTGAAGATGCACATGTGCCTTTCTATCATGGGGTGCTGTATATCTTGTTCCTAACATTATGATTGTGTTTGAGATGTGCAGTATGATTTGGAGCTAGTTTTCGTGAAAAACTCGCATGTATTTGTGCATGAATACGTAAAAAAGCCAGAATTTATTGAGCTCATGCGGAGGCTTGGTGCATTGGGTGATGGAAACCAAGACAAAAGTAAGTTTCAGAACCTTGATTCTGATATTGGTGGTGGAACCTATAGCTTTTGCTTCTTGTATTTTGGGGTTGCTATGTATTTCATGGTCTTGCCTTTGGTTTTCATGTTAAATGATGTACTTATTCTATTTTATCGTGTAAAAATTTAGGCACACTATCACCAGATGAATGGGAAGTAGCTTATTTGTATCTGGCGTTCGTGTTGAGGAAGGTAAGCATTAAATTCTGTTACTGGCAAATTAAACTGACACGTCTCTGTATGGCACTTCCAAGTACAATTGTTCATTTCTTTTTTTGTGCATGCATTTGTGTGCGCAAATGTGCACCTGTGTTGCATTGATATTCTTTATGGCGTTTTGAGTGGCAGTATGTTTTGATTGCAGCGAGGGGAACCGGAGCAGCCTCGAGCAAATGGTAGAAGAGATAAAGGCAAGATGCAAATAGGAAAGGAGGACATAGCATATATCAGCAGTGAAGTTTGATGGGAGCAACACTTCAAATTCGAATAATCATCTTCAAACCTGACAATAATGTGGTCAAGTGCGGTGCCTCCAGACCAACTCGTGGAGTTCATTAGAGTTCCAAGTGGCTATACAATTTTGTAGAATGGTGATTCTAATTTTAGCTGTGGTTCATCACACAATACCACCTATTTTGGCACTCATATGTATACTGTCCGATTTGATGTGTTGAAGCCGTAGAGTTGAGTTGGTGGCTGATTTCAAAGGCAGTTGTCACCACAAGCGAAAACAGTTTGCATTATCAAGCTGAATATGTAATTTGCTTCAGTTACACAATGCATGTAAATTAAAATGATTGATGAATCTAATCACCAAGCATTTTGCTTGTGAACACTGGTTTTTGTCTTTTTGGAACTGAGGTGGTGATTCAATTTGTCTTTTTTCTTTTTTCATTTTATTTCTACAATTATATTTGGTTCCATTTTGTTTTCGGTAATGGGAAACATCTTCAAAACAGGGCATTTTGGACTCATTTTTGCGAAAGTAAATCCGGAATACTTACAATCACTCGTAAATTACATGTATCTGTTAAGTCTGGGTCTATAATTTGTCTAAGTTCAACTTCGGTTCCTGTTACCCTTGCCCTTGTCTGCGTAGATCCAATTCAAGAATTCCCTCCCCCCCCAAAAAAAAACACAAAAATAAATGTTTATTCATAAAACTAGAAATTTCAACAACCATTTGCGACATCTTTTGTCAGACCATTAGAGACAGGATTCGCCTATATGCATTTGATATTTGATCCATCGGAAGTAGTTTGGAAACATAAACAACCATAATCAACATGCTGTATCTCCGAGGGGCAGTACATCCCACTACAATGAGGGAAGTGACCCATAAAGGGTCCTAAATCCTTGCGGGATCGAGTCAGGCAGAAGCAAAAATGTCTCATGATATGGTTCATTGTAAGTTCCATTAGCATCAGCAGAAAGAAAGGCGAACTGTACAAAGAAACTTCTCATGAGTCATTTACTTGCTAACAGTTCATTAGACCAACTGATAAGCCATACGAAAGATGTTTATTCAGAAACAAGAGTAATAAACCAGTGCAACCAAACTTCGATTACATACATCTGTAGCTTCGACAAATTCTTGTGTAGGTTGACAAGAAATGAGTTCTACACTCGCTTCAGCACGACAACCATAATCACCATGACTACTAATCCCATGACGGACGCTCCTATAGCTGCATCCACGCAAGTTGTTCTGGCACTTCCATCATCATTTGGAGATGGTTTTTCCCCAGCTGAACCACCAAAGAAACTCTGAAAATAATCAGATAAGTTGCTCATCATATCCACCACTGTGAGCCTAATGCTCTGCAGGTAATCCATAAACCCATTTCCAGAGGCAGACTCCTTCAAATCAGAGGACTCATCAAAGCTCTGGGGAGACTGCTCATTTTGAAAATTCTCTTCAGCAACAGATTCCTTTACACCAGGATCATCAAAGCTCTTGGGAGACTGCTCATTTTGAAAATCCGCTTCAGCAACAGATCCCTTTACACCAGGATCAATATCTGAGAAGGAAGCATCGGTCAACAGATGACAACGAGTGTCTTAACACCAAAAAAAAAAAAAAATGGCTAAAGTGGCCAAGATATGGGTACAATTCTTACCAGTTTTATGTGACTGGATGAATTCCAGTAGCGCCTTATTTTGCAGCACAGCATTCCATACATTTTGGTCAGAAGCAATTGAAGCAACAACAGTCTAGCACAAAACCAGATTCAGATACCAAAATTCCCAAATAAATATAATAGTCAGTTCTATTTATCATCCCATTGCGGAACAAACAGCCCCAACCCCAAAAAATAATAAAAAAAACATAGAATAGCGCAATAAAAAAGGAAGCTAAAAACACGAGACACGGAACGAATATAAAGGCTCCAATAAAGCATTATGTCAGTCAAAAAAATGTGAACCAGCATTTTAACACCTGACAACATCAACTAGAATGGAAAGAGTTCCAGAAGTAAACATGACATCAATGTCTTTCCCATTCTCAAAACTCTGCAATAAAATTACCTACTACATCTCCAATGGAGGAATTTCTCTTTACAAAGTGTCATAAACTGATATATTTCTGCATATTTGGGAAAAGGACACATTAGCTAAACATCCTTTTCATTCTCTCCCAAGGTTTACTACGCAGAATTAAAATGCTCATAGGCAGCTTACAACTTAGAAAAGAGTGAAATGCAATGTGATGCCCTCATATAAATAGCAGCAACACCATTCGTGAAAGTCAGAATCCAAGGGCGTGTTTGGATTGCATCTCAGAAAATAGTATTCGAAAACATGTTTTTAAGAAGAATTTTAAAAAAGTGTATTTTGAAATTTTTGTACCGCAAAACTTGTTTGATTATATAATTCTAAAAATAGTTCTACAGAACAGAAAATAATAAAATCTGTTTGGATCAACTATTTTATAAAAAAAATTCAGATATAAAATGCAAGTTCTGATCAAAGGCAAAAAAAAAAAAGAAAATCACAAA